GCTCGCCCATCTTCGACTTCTCCAGTCACAAGTACTTCCCGGTGATACGGATCCAGTGATGGCGCTGCGCCTAGCTCTCACCGAATCTAGCTCCTGTGCTGGCCGCCGCCGGTGGTACCCTGCCATTGGTGGGGCCGCCGCCCGCCTGCCTGCCGTGCCGCGCGCGGCGCCGGGCCCTGTCGGCTCGCGGTGGTCGGATATCGGCAGTTTCCTGTCATATCGACTGTACCGCAGCGTGCACAGTCGGCCGCTGATAGGGCGCCGCCGGCGGTGCGGTGATTCAGCCTCCCGTCACCACTTCTCACTAATCGGGGACGGTCTTCTGCGAGCGGCGTGTGTACTCGGCGGTCGGGGGCGGTGACCAATCGGCGGCACCGCCGGCCCGCCTCTATTGGTCGCCGTTCAAGGCCATCGTGTACACATTCCGGAGTGAACGCAGCCTAATGGGGAGTCGGCGCCGCCAGGGGCCCCCGAACTCGTTACGAGCCGACCGGCGGGCGCCGCCGTCTCGGCGGCAGCAGCATCTATAACGGACCGGCCGGCCCGCCCGGGAGACGTGCAGCAGGTAGCTCGGATTGCGGGTGCTATCGGAGTGTGCACGTGTGTATGAGCTCCCTCCGCGTGTGTTGGGGGAATGAATGCGTCAGAGTGAGAGAATGGGTGCATCTGGGACATTTGACGGGTCCCTCCCATTTGCAATAATGTATGCCATGATAATGGAACGTCATCAGATTCGTACATAGGCGGCAGCGTGCTACATCTAGTCAGATACTTATTGCATTGTGTTGACTTACCCGCATTGTGGTAATGTTTCACAATAAAAATGAACCGCCGAATGGTGTATGTCGTGGTGCAGGCCGCGGATTAGTCTTGTAATCGGCTCCGTTTTTACGTCAGCCAACCACCTGTGTTCCCGGCAAAGTGCTGAGTAGCTTGACGACACCGCGCGGCGGCGGCCGCTTTGTTTATTCGCTATACAACCGTAAATGGGTACAATGATACAAACCCGATGCTCGGTCGGGAATCAGGAAAAAATGCCCACATGCATCCACAGACTGCACAACTGGATACCTGTAACGTTTACAGTGAAACTGTTTCACGTGAATGCCCGTGCCGTGGTGATGGTATCTGGACTGTGCCGAACGAAAAGAATAGCTCACCGTCAGTCACGGTACACGGCTGACGGCGAGTCACGAGACCGGCTGCCGAACTCACGGAGCGGGATCGCGGGACAGCATCACTGGCACGCGCATCACACGTGAGCCGACCACCGATCGAACGCGCACAACGGAAATGAGCGTACGATTGCCCTGCGATAGTGGGCCGCTCAACACACAGACGCTACGTCCGGCGCCGACAGCCGCCCCGAGTTGGCTAAACACACCGATAAGAACGAAAACGTATGGCGTAGACATGATTCGTGACTCGGGTCCGGCGGGCGGCGTTGTTTACTCGGGGTGATACCGAGTGAAGCGGGCTGCGGGCGGCCGGAACGGCTGTTATTCACTGCCGATAACCGTGGGAAATCCGCTCGGGATTCGAACAGTTCGGCCGACCGACACGGCATGCGCTATTCCTGAACGCTTTGGCACGCCACACCGCCGAAACGCGATACTAGAGCTATGATATGATGGCAAGAAACGAGGCATCGTCAGGAAAACAGTGACGCAACAACGGAAGTCTACAATGAACACAAGCTGATGGACTAGTTCTATTGATTCTAACGGTATATCTGACCAACTATCTAACGACATTGAGCGAGCGGATACAGCCTTATTCATCGTGCTTCTCTCGTGGAGAGGCCACGCCAGCCGGCGACAGACCCATCTCGTCGCGACCCTGGCCGTCTGTTCCTCTGTTCGTCTGGCTGTCAGTCTGTCTGTCTGACTCAGCATCCGACACCGCCCCGCCAGCCGTTTCACCCAGTCGGACCAGCACACCAGGAATAACACTAGCCGGTCGGCGGGGCGGCTCGTAACGCCAGCGATAGCACTGGGCGGTCGGACGGGAGTCCCGGGCTACCAGCGACAACACTAGGCAGTCGGCAGGGCGTCCCGCACCTCGGTCACCAGCCGAATCACGTTCCGCAGCCCCTCCTGATAGTTGGCGTCCGGCTCGCCGTCCGCCGGCCACGCGTGCGCAAAGTCGATCATGCGCGCGATGGGCCGCGCGGCGGCCAGCACCTGTTCATCGGAGCGGCCGGCGCCGGCCAGCAGCGCTGCCGCGTCGTACGTCAGCAGGATGGACGAGGCGAAAAATTTGTAGCGGCGCTGTCGGCTGAACCAGCTATCGATCCGACCCAGCTGGGCTAGCAGCGAGTCACAGATGGGCCGCACGCCGGAGCCGCACGGCGCGTTCAGGAACGTACGGAACGCGTCCAGCACCGATTGGCCGTCCAGCGCCTTGCCGAACGGCTTGCCGTGCTGGATGGCTGATGCGTTGGTGATGTCATAGACCGTCATCCCGGGCACGCTGAAGCCGACTGTGGCACGTGTGCCGAGGTATTTGGACGCCTCGTGTTTCCGCTTCTCCTCTGGTGCCGTTGGTATGGATGTCACGCGGCCCATCTTCAAGTCCAGCACACAGGCGTGCCGGAAGCCGTATGTGAAGTTTTCCATCTTCATACAGAGCACGTCCCGGTCAGCGACATTGACCTTCTGAGTGCCAAAGTACTTGGGGGTCAGCGTGGCCAGCTCTTTATCGATTGGATCCTCGGCGTTAGATATCCTCTCATAGAAACGGATTTCGTCGTCTTCGAGTGGTTCAGTCGCATCTGGACATACCGGCTTCAGAAGGCTCCCATCATTGTGCATCATAATGCCAACCATGCCCTTCTTGGCGTTGAACATGTGACCCCCGCCTTGATTATCGAGAACGGATATGCCGTCCGGCAGTTTGTGGTCTACTTTGGACGTCATCTCGACAAACACAACAATGCCAATGATGGACAACGATTTGTAAATCGGCACCCACCGTACCGGAGTCCACACCGAAACGCACCGTGCACGACCGACAACGTGAATGCGGCGCACGCCGCGCCCCATTTTATCTTAGCTCCGCCCACTTCGGGTGCCAAACAAGTACCAAGTACTTGCCAAGTAAGTACACGTAGCAGCTTTGTCCACCACTACCCATTCCAATGTTTGATAACAAACGCGGCGCGTCTGAGACAGCGCGATATTTGTTTATTTTACGCTTTTTACGCAAGAGCCTCTATACATTTTACGGATTTTACGGTTATTGTGCACTTGTGGTCGGTTTGAATTGAAAAATGTTCCAACCAGGGGCGTCGCCGACGGGGGGGTCGGGGGGGTCGCGACCCCCCACTCGTCAGAACCGGGGGGGTCGACCCCCCCTCTTTTGGCGATGCTGAGTATGCTTTTTTTAGCTATCATGTCAGGGAAGTTGGCGTCAGCAACATCAACAAATACAACGTCAGATTCAGAATCGCTTCAAGAGCTCCCAAGTCCCTATTGCTTATAGGTCAATAAGCTGTGGGCTAGAACATCAGCATGACAATATGATTCTAGTCCCTTTTTATCCCTCAAATGAGCGAGCGCGTCAAAACTGACCCAAGCGTTCGTCTGATTGTCAAAATAATGGTTGCAGTCGATTCGTCGGATGACTTATCAGTAACTACGAGGTACCTGGCTAGCCTCAGCCCTCCTATAACTGCTATAACAATACCAGCCCGCCCTCCTACCCTCGGACCTGCCTGCATAGGGGAAATGGGGTCAATGGTGGATCCCTCTGGAGCTTTCCTAATAAGACGCGCAAAAAGGAGTATATTGCAACGAAACTTCCAGTGACCTCGAGTTAATGAATTGTACACCTATTATAAAAAATTGCCCTGATTCGAATATGGATGACCTTGGTTAACTTTTTTGAGTTTTATTTGCTTCCACTTACAAGTGTGGTTTTTGGGGCTGATTTCGAGTTTAGCGCCCGTTTGAACCGTTTGAAGTAGTTTTGATAAATGGTGGTTATGTAATATGTTACGAAGCTATCGTTGGTGGTTGTCAGTCACCCACTCTAGATGGCCGGCAGGAAGCCTGCTGGTCGACCTGACCTGACCCGACCCGATCTACCCAAAATGCATGGAGTCATCATTTTTGTTCAAGACTAACATCAAACTCGTACTCGGGACCCCGATAACAGCTACGGCTCACTAAGTAAGTTCTAGCAGGCGGCCAGATTTTTCCTACTTTTGGGCGTTGACCTAAGATGACCCGGCCAAGACCTTGAAATTGGGCATCATTGGCTTTCTCTCATCACGGGCAGCATTCTCGCTCTTCCGCAAAGCTCTACCTTGATCAGGGGCCGAAAGCATGCCTTAGCGTTACGTTGGTAAGCGTTTTACCTTAGCGACCCGTAAAATACGAATAAGAGCTAGCCTACAGCAACACAGAAAGCGTATTCGATAGCTTTTTTTAACTCTTTCGCCAACTTCGCCTCAGATATGACTTCGGGTCTATGGCTTGTGTACCATGGGCGGTGTTTCACGGGACGCTGCTACCACGCTGCTATCAAATTGCGCGAGCTGACGTCACACTTGCGGTAGTGTTGGAGCAACCCAGTAAAAAATACCATTAGAAATTACCAAATGGTTCCAAATGGGAAAAACCATTTGACTTATTGAACACTTTTCCAAATGGTTCCAAAGAGGTTCCATTTGAAATGTGTCCAATTGGCCACCAATTGGTACCAATTGGAACCATTTCATGACCATTTGAAATGTATCCAATTGGTCACCAATTGGTACCAATTGGACACATTTCAAATGGTCATGAAATGGTTCCAATTGGTACCAATTGGTGGCCAATTGGACACATTTCAAATGGAACCTCTTTGGAACCATTTGGAAAAGTGTTCAATAAGTCAAATGGTTTTTCCCATTTGGAACTATTTGGTAATTTCTAATGGTATTTTTTACTGGGCAGCTGGATTACCATTTGAAGATCCTTTTGAAGTCCATGCATTTCATCCACAAAATAACAAACTGCACCGTGAATTATTTTTATTGTTTTACTCTGCAAGCATATACATTTTCATCAGTACGTACCGACCAACATTAGACATTAACTACACATGGACATTGTTGTTTGGTCAACACCACATCGATGAGGCGACTGCTATCAGAATCAAGAACAGAATTACAATGTAGTTATACACTGGGCCATACGTACGCTATTCCACATAGGCACAATGAACGACGTGATACAATATCATTCCGATCGGTGATACTATCTGTTGTTCTGACAGATAGATTTCTTAATCTTCCGTGGCGATCAGAATTTTCAGAAGTCAGAACGTAGCTATAATGCAGGCATGCAGCCCATCTGGACCCGTGTAGAACCGGTAGACGGTGTTTGTCAGGTGTAAGTTCGTGCCTGCAACAGTATAGAACAGCACGGGTTAATTGGGCGATGGGGTCATATTAATTACCACACAGGGTCATTTGTCAAATTATCACAATATAGTAAGTTTAAGCTCATGCAACCTGCATTGTCATTTGGGTAGCCTGACCACAACAAATATAGCACTGAAAATCTTCTGTTGGCTAAATTAAATTGTGATCGCAAATTTTAAGCCCCTTTCTCACCTCTGTTAAACTCAGCTACTCCTACAAGGATGCGAAATGCAACCGAATTTATTCAAAAAAAACTATTTTCAGTATTTGCAGTCGACTAAAACGAATATCAGATACAGAGGCACAAGAAAAGTCACTCACCAGCCGCCTGATTTTGCTCAGCTCTTCATCTTCTACAGCTGGACTGGGTCGACCGCGGGCCGTCCCAGCGAACGCCAAACCCGGTGGCGCGCCGGGCGCGCCGGCCGGCCGGCTGACGCCGCCGCCCGATTTGAACTGTGGCGCCGGCGCGTCCGGCCGCCGCCGGCGCCAACGGTCGGGCGCCCCGTTAGCGCAGGCACACAGAGAAAAAGTAGTGCTGTTTAAATGAGCGGAAACGGCGTTGATTTTGCGAATCATTTTTATTTAATGAAAAGCCAAGGCCTTGTAGTGATGCTTATCAAGTATAACCAGTCAAATGTCTTCCCATTACCTCTAAGTCTACGATTTAAGTATATGTTAAAAGACCATTAAAAACCATTAGGGTACCAATTGGGAACTAATAGATACCCAGTCCATACTCATAACACACTTAAAACCATTAGAGACCATCAAGGTAGAAACACTTTTGAAGCACACTTGTCAGTTGTCACACATCTGGAAACAGGGCTGCAAAGTGATGGATTTATGACTCTGACTCTGACTCAAAAATTGACTCCAGCTCCGACTATAGTTCAGACTTTGCTTTTTAATTCTTCTCATGAAATAAAAGTTATTGCCATATAGGTAAGTATCTTTTTCTTGCCTAAAACGACCCTAAGGAATGTTTTTCAATTGCATTTTTCAATTAGACACCAGGAAATCAAATGGGAAACACCATTTCTAATCAAATTTGCTTTTCCATTAGGAAACCATTTTAAAACCAATTGGGATCAAATGGAAAACACCATTTCAGACCAATTGGGAAATTACCAATTGGAAACCATTTCGATACCAATTGGGATCAAATGGGAAACACCATTTGGGATGAAATGGTTTCCATTTGGAACCAATTGGGATCAAATGGAAAACAACATTTGAAATCAAATGAGATTTATTTTCCATTAGGAAACCATTTCAAGACCAATTGGTCCCAAATGGAAAACACCATTTCAGAACAATTGGGAAATTACCAATTGGAAACCATTTCGATACCAATTGGGGACATACCATTTGGGATGAAATGGTTTGATTCCATTCGGAGACCAATTGGACACCTATTGGGATCAAATGGGAAAACACATTTGAGATCAAATGGGAATTTCTTCCATATGGAAACCATTTAGATACCAATTGGGATCAAATGGGAAACACCATTTGGGATGAAATGGTTTATTCCATTTGGAACCAATTGGGATCAAATGGAAAACACCATTTGAAATCAAATGGGATTTATTTTCCATTAGGAAACCATTTCAAGACCAATTGGTCCCAAATGGAAAACACCATTTCAGACCAATTGGGAAATTACCAATTGGAAACCATTTCGATACCAATTGGGGACATACCATTTGGGATGAAATGGTTTGATTCCATTCGGAGACCAATTGGACACCTATTGGGATCAAATGGGAAAACACATTTGAGATCAAATGGAAATTTCTTCCATATGGAAACCATTTAGATACCAATTGGGATCAAATGGGAAACACCATTTGGGATGAAATGGTTTATTCCATTTGGAACCAATTGGGATCAAATGGAAAACACTATTTGAAATCAAATGGGATTTATTTTCCATTAGGAAACCATTTCAAGACCAATTGGTCCCAAATGGAAAACACCATTTCAGACCAATTGGGAAATTACCAATTGGAAACCATTTCAAATGGTCATGAAAACCATTAGAACCTATTTCAAACCATTTGACACATTTGAAACCAATTGGTAAATCCTAATGGTTTCAAATGGAATTTTTTACTGGGATAACTCTGGAAATGTAAAAGTGTAAAACCTACCGCTTTATCTCGCGAGAGCCGTACCTGGACTTATTCTTCAATACATTCAAGCTGAAAGCCCTATGCAGGGTATGCGAAATAGTTTTATTTGCTTTTCAGTTGCTCTGGCTAAAAATTTAGTCATTTTTGTATAAAAAGTCAAAATATTTACTGAGAATCTGACAACTTGTTGTGGATGATAGGGCAATTAAAATTGAGGATTAGAATTGACATGCCTGAAGATAATTTTTTTTCTGATTTCAGGACGAGCAGCTGTACTCCAGACGATTGAGGATGTCGTACCCACTGCAGATACGAGATCATCCTATTCCTGGCCGTCGCTATGCAACGGTTGGGAGGGGAGCATTTGAGGTAAGGACAAATTCATGTTGTTTTGCTACATCATCACAGTGATTATAACTATTGCATAACAATCTGAATGTTATGATGGAGCCAAACTGCCTCCATGAAAGAACCTGTCAAAAATCATTGTTTACCATCACATTGCTGCTTTAAGATGCCCCTATTCAAGTCAACTCAAGGGAGGGAAGGCTCGTAAGGGCCCTTAGAGATCAGGTGGGCTCTTAGAAGCTATTTCTAGCTGCCTTCATTTTCCAGTGCGGGGTCATCAGAGGCTGGTGTGGCCTTGTGGGACGTCACAAGTTTGGCATGTCCTCAAAGACTGGCATGGATGCTCAGATAATTTTGTGGTTCAGTGAGTGGACTAAGCCCTGCTTCATGGTATGCCACTACCCTGCACTACCAGATGTTGGTGTTTTAGGTTATATGCAAATGTAAGCAAAGTTACTCAGTTTTCTTACATTTGTATGGAAACATAAGCACCAATGCCTGGTTACAGCAAGCAGCAGGATGCTGAGAAAGAGGGTTCTGTGTGCCCCCTCAGAGACTGGTATGGCTTTCCGAAGGCCACAGTGGATTGTGGCATGGACGCATGGTGCTCACTGCCCATAGAGATTGACATGTTTACAGCTCCTCAGAAGCCTGTGCACTGTGCAGGGCCACTCCCAAGACTCACACCTTGTATTGCCCTTGATCATGCATTGCCAAAATCAGTGATTTTGCTATTAGAAGGCTCATTTTGTGCTTTGTGCTTGCTTGTCTAAAAAAAAAATCAGCTATTGTTTGGATAACACCAGAGATCATACCATGATATGACTATGATGTGACTAGAGATCTAGGGGTCATCACTCATGGATGCTCTCCCAGTTCAATATTCTGGAGTCCAGCAATATTTGACAAAAGACATTTTAGTTCTAGCTCATTAGCCATACAGCTACACTTAGCATAAAAATCAGCGATGGCTATGACCCAACCGGAATTAACCCTCGTCCGTATTGGTGTTTTGCCAGTCGGGATCGTATAGGGAGGGGGGGGGGGGCGTTGGACATTGCCCCTTGCCGTTTGGCCCCTGATCAAGCTAGAGCTTCGCGGAAGAAGGGCGTGTCGCCCGTGACGAGAGGAAGCTGATGATACCCAATTTTGAGGGCCTAGGTCATTGGTTGACCCCAGGTCAGGTCAATGACCCAAAAGTCGGGAAAATCGGGACCTGTTATAACATCGTAATGTGCGGTTGCTGCGGGGGTTTTCGGGGTGCGGATCACGAATTAGATGTTGGTTCTGATCACAGGTGATGTCTTCATGCGATTAGGCCAGGTCGGGTCAGGTCAGGTCAGGTCAACCAGTAGGCTTCCTGACGGGTATTCAAAGTAGGTGTCAATCGCCACGGACAGCTTCGTAGCATGTTAAACCTGCGGTTACGAAGGCACCAAATTACTTCGTAAATGTTCAAATGGATGCTAAACTCGAAATCAGCTCCAAAACTTAGCCTAGAAACATGTAAAACTCGAAGAAGTGAACCAAGATCATCAAAGGTCAGTGACCTGACCTGACCTGCAGGTGACCTTAACACCCACCATAATGCATGGGACCAACATCATACCACATGTTTGAACGTTTGAAACCACAAAGAGACTGCAAACGCGCGGCTAATGCGAGAAGACATACGCCGAATCGCGATTCCGGCCAAACATGGTCTCGAGAAATAGGTTACAGGACAAAGGTCATTAGGGTCAGGGTCATGAAATTATCAGGTTAGGCGTAAAATTGATTAACGCGAGGGTACTGAACGTTTCGTTGCGATCAGCCGCTTTTTACGTGAGTTTTTCCCAAAAAACGTTAGACCCCCTCTCCTATAGGGGCGAGGGTTAAGTCATCAAATTGGATAACATAACATTCGCGGGCAATCTCGGGTAACAACAGTTCAGTCTACAATATGGACTACCAAGTTGAAATGGCAGGGTTGCCATTAAATGATGAGCGCGTCCAAAGCTTTATGACCTCTTCATCGATCGCCAGTCAGAAAATAATAAATTCTAATAGCATCGCAGTGCATATTGCATCGAAAGAAGCCGCCGCCCCGCCTCCCCCCCCCCCCCCCCAGCGAAAATCCAGTAGACAAAGTCAGTCCGTGGAAGAATAGATGTTTGAATGGTTCGGACGTTGCGGATTTCATACCGTCATCCACGTCTCAGAGCTACATAGTGGTAGGTGCAGCATTCATTGCGTTGTCCTGTCTCGATTTGTATTATTTGCGAGGACAATTAGTACTGATGGTTATGCCTCATGTTTTCAGGACAAAATAGCAAAAATGAGAATGAGAGAAGAAAACTACTACAAGGTGTGGAACAATGTCGTTAACTATTACGATGCAATGGATGTCAAGACAAAGTCTCATAGCAAGTGGGCATCAAATGACTTCTTTGTGCGAAGGTACCTTTATAACGCTACTGGAGTTGGCGCTTCATATTTACTTTTCCATATGTTTTGTCGTAAAATCATATATCTTGTGATATGTACATCTCCATAAATGTAAAGCAGGATGGAATTATTATACTTTGTAAGTGTTTGATCAACTGCCTCATCCAAAAGTTTGTGTGGATTTTATTCGTTGTAGCACTTTGGCTTTATTTCAGCGTTTTGTTATTTGCATTGCCTCTTATAATTAGGTCCATTGTTCTGGCAAGCAGGCTCACCGGTCCGAGCTTCGTAGGAAGAACACCAAAGCTCAAGAATTGCTCTCAAGTTTCCGATTTAGCGGCACTCATGATGTTCTCTCGCAATAAGTAGACAGTGTTTCCGATTGATGGTTCATCAAGTCACCCTCTTCTCGCGTCGACAGTTACCAGAATTACTGCGAGCGGGAGCGAGCGAGGCAGGCGGAGGCCAACCTTGAGCTGCGGCGCTCCAAACTCAAAGAAAAACTGCAGCGGGAAGATGAATTATACAAGGTAAAAACTCCCGCCGTTTTTATCCACTAAAAATAGGGTGATGATGGATGGTGAATGAGAGACACTCTTTTTTTGGTCTGTTTAACGACGCTCGTTGGTTGGTGCTGTATTCATGAAGTTGAAGTGTTTATGGAACGCTGTAGCCTCGTGTCGCCACGTCCTAACGGCGTTAGCGACCTCTAATGTCGTACCACTTTCCACGGCACGGTCTGAATGAACTCCCCACCGACAGATGGAGCTGTCGCAGCTGCCGGCGCACTGTTCCCTCTGACCGCTCCCTCACCGCTGTCACAGTCTGTTCTCTACCCACCCGCTCCCGCCGACAGATGGAGCTGTCGCAGCTGCCGGCGCACTGTCGGGCGCGCGCCTGCCGCTCCGACTCGGACGAGTACCGGCTCCGCCAGCAGCGTGTGGAGTCAATGCGCGCCCAGCTGGAGGAGACGCAGAGACGCCAGGAGCAGGAGAGGCTGGAGCAGGCCCGCCAGCGACTCGAACAGCACTGGCGGATCAACAACGCCGTGCTGCGGCAGGTGAATTTCTGGTTGAAGGGCGGTGGTGGGAGGGGTATGTGGAGGATGGGAAAACTGGATGGCGAGGGTGGGTGACGGAGGGGGACGAAAATGGTGAGTGATGGGGACGCGGAAAGTGGATGGTGTGGAATCGGGGTACGATTGCTAGTACGGATCAGAGGCTGCGAGAAGACTGCGGTAAGTACACACAAATTCGTTACTGCTCCCACTTACCCAATCGTCCCATCAACACCACCGTAACCACGTCGTCCCCGCCCACTGAGTTCCGAGTTCTGGCCGTGTCGTCTCCGCCGCTCCATCTGCGTTTGAGTTCTGAGCTAACGGTGCCGTCCCGCGCCCCAGGTGGAGTCTGAGCGTCTGACGGAGGGCGCGCGGCAGATGTGGGAGCAGCAGATCCGCGAGAAGGTGGAGCGGGAGCAGCGGCAGCGCGACCAGGAGGAGGCAGAGGAGGAGGAGCGCAGGAGGCGGTGGGAGGAGGAGGAGCGGCGGCTCCAGGAGGAGGAGGAGGCACGCCAGCGCAGTCTGCGGCAGGCGCAGGAGGTGCTCGACAAGCAGATGGAGGAAATCAGGTGGGTGCCCGCGACTGACGGTTGGTCGTAGCGACACGGTCTGGTGTGTGCTTCATGCACGTGTGGGTGAAGGATACCACACCTGTGTGTAATCAGATTGTAAAGAACAGAAACAAAGGGAGGCGTCTCTCTCTCTCTCTCTCTCTCTCTCTCTCTCTCTCTCTCTCTCTCTCTCTCTCTCACTCTCTCTCACTCTCACTCACTCACTCACTCACTCACTCACTCACTCACTCACTCACTCACTCACTCACTCACTCACTCACTCACTCACTCACTCACTCACTCACTCACTCACTCACTCACTCACTCACTCTTCGGTGTCCAATGTCCAATGGGTATCTTATTTTAGCAGGCGGACATAGGGGAGAGACAATCTAGCCAATGCTTGATCCAGCAGCAGCAGTAGGTTTTTCAATGTTTATCCGATTCCACTGTAAAGCGATTGAGTGTTCACAATACAGTGTTTCTGGCTCGCTGGACTGTGCTGTATCACACTGATGTTTCGCCCGTCGTCTCTGTGCCGCAGAGAGAGGGAGCGGGCCGAGGCCGAGCTGCGGGACCAGGAGAACGAGCTGATGGTGCGCCACCAGCAGATCGAGGAGGCCATCGCGCGCCGCCAGGAGGCCGAGCGCCGGCGCAGGTGTCGCCAGATCAGGTACGGTAGTTGTTCAAGTACCGAGGAGGGCGGGTTTGGGCCAGATACAGTTACGGTGATGGGTGGATACGGGCCATACAGGTCACAGGCAGGGGCGGGTGGAGGCCATACGGTCTGACGGGCCACACGGTCAAGGACCAAGCCATTACGGGCCAAACGATCGTAGACGGCTTCGGGAATTAAGGACTCCGATCACAGCCGGTGCAGTTGGATACTGGCTGCCCGGTGACAGAATATGGGTTCGGGCTGCTCAGATGCCTTTCAGTCACGAACGGGTAGGCCGATATGATAGTGCAATGTCCAGCAGCGTAAAGCCAAGCTGCTGCAGTCCCCTACGACCGTTCTGTGCTCCCAGTCTATTCCAGGCTATGAGTGATGTTTCTTACGACCGTTCTGCCTTCTCCAGTCTATTCCAGGCCCAGCAGTGTAACGCCAAGCACTGTTGCGGTAGCGTACTTACATTACTGTAAGCTTTATAATGCACTGTGTTCCCCAGTCTGTTCCAGGCGCAGCAGTGTAACGCCAAGCTACGGCAGCGCTCAGCAGAGGTGGAGGAGGCGCTCAAAGACGAACAGGACTTCCTCGACGCTCTGATCGCCTCAGGTAAGAGTCGCGAGTCAAACGGTCTCGAAGCTTTGATCAATGGTCGGGGAATAGTTGGCCACGCTGCGTTTGTTATTATTGCTCATGTGCGACGAGTATCTCAGGAAAAGTGAGAACTGTCTAGTGGACCAGAATTGCCTCATCGTCGTCTAAGCATGACCAGCTATATTTTTCACAGTTTTACTGAACGTTTCGCTAGGGATCTAGTGCTAAATAAATTCGCTTTGATCGCAATTTACCATTCCGGTTTCCACATGTGCCTTTCTGCAGGTGACCGGGACCGTCTGAAGCTGGCGGAGGCGGCCGAGCGAGCCGAATCCAAGCAGCTGAGACAGGTGCTGCAGAAACAGCTGGAGCTGGAGCAGCAGCGGCGCGGCCAACTCGAGCTGCTCTTCAAGTAAGGATAGGTCATACGATCAGTTGATTGAGTGGCTATTGTAGTTCTGAATTTCTGATACGCATCGAGTCATAGACCATCAACCTTGTCTTTGTGGTGAATCATTTATTGTCATTGATCACATCGCTCATTTCTTTGTTAGATAAGATAAAAGAGTGGGTCTTGTTGACTCTTGAAAAACAGCCGCGTCTTGGGCTTCCCCTAAACAAGGGCTATAATTGAGGAGACGGGCTGACTCATGTAACGGCTGCTCCACAGACAGTGAGTGGAGACACTGACCCTTGCATTCTTCTCCCCTCTGCGGTGAGGAGGCGGAGCGGCACCGACTCCCCTCCCCAATTCCATACACAGTATGTTACTTATGAGTTATGACCAGTGACCTTTCCCTTCTGCATTGAGGAGTGACTGACCCCTGCCTTCCCCTCCCCCTGCAGTGAGGAGGCGGAGCGGCACCGACTCCCCTCCCGGCTCCCCTCTGCAGTGAGGAACTGACCAGCGACCCCCTCCCCTCTGCAGTGAGGGCTGACCAGTGACCCCTCCCCCGCTTTCAGTGAGGACTAACCACAGTGACCAGTGACCCCCTCCCCTCTGCAGTGAGGAGGCGGAGCGTCTGTGGCGCCGGCGCGAGGCCGACTGGGCGGCACTGACTCCCCTCTCCACTCCACAGTGAGGACTGACCACTGACCTCTCTCCCCTCTGCAGCGAGGAGGCGGAGCGTCTGTGGCGGCGGCGCGAGGCCGACTGGGCGGCACTGACTCCCCTCCCCCACATACACAGTGAGGACTGACCACTGACCTCTCTCCCCTCTGCAGCGAGGAGGCGGAGCGTCTGTGGCGGCGGCGCGAGGCCGACTGGGCGGCACTGACTCCCCTCCCCCACATACACAGTGAGGACTGACCACTGACCTCTCTCCCCTCTGCAGCGAGGAGGCGGAGCGTCTGTGGCGGCGGCGCGAGGCCGACTGGGCGGCACTGACTCCCCTCCCCCACATACACAGTGAGGACTGACCACTGACCTCTCTCCCCTCTGCAGTGAGGAGGCGGAGCGGTTATGGCGGCGGCGCGAGGCCGACTGGGCGCGCGAGGAGCAGGCGCGCCGCCGTCTCATGGAGGACGTGGTCGCCAGCTGGCGGCAGCAGAGTGAGCAGCGCCTGCAGCGGTGCCGCGCCGACCGGCAGCGCGAGGCCGAGCTGCGCGAGGCGGCGGCCGCGCGCGCCGAGGAGCAGCGCCGCTTCGTGCAGCAGACGGAGGAGCTGCGCCGTCAGCGGCAGGCCGAGCTGCGAGACAGCTGGGCCAGACAGGTGAGCGGCAGCGAGCTGCTGAGGCTCAGACAGTGTGGGATGTGACGATAAATCGGGATTTGGATTCCCAATTTCATACCTAGCTGTGTGGCAGTTTTGCTTGACGAATTTTACATTTTAGTTTAACTGGGAGTCGTGTCTGTTGAGGAAGGGTGATCCGTGATGTGTCAGTTGCGTCTGGGTGACATATTAGCGGTATTTTTGCTTCGTTATCACGCTCAGTCGGTGCCTAGACTCGGTTTTGTCTGTGTGCTGCGTTCGCCGTGACCGTTTGTCGCTGACCTCCCTCGGTCCGCTCCGTCTCAGGTGGAGGACAAGACTCGCCGCCGGGACGCCGAGATACGGGAGGAGCAGAGCGAGCTGCGGCACCAGCAGGAGGCCGACCAGCGCGAGATGGAGCGACTGCAGCAGGAGCTCAGCAGGATGCAGTTCAATGCCAGGAGCTTCAACCAGGTGAGCCGCGCGGGAGGACCTCAGGAGAGATCGTGGGAGGTGTAGAGCAGTGAACGCATCTGCGAGTAAAATTAAACTCGGACAACCACAGTACCGCATACTCGAACTACTTCATAGCAAACAGCTGTCTGAACAGCCGCCTGTCATTGTCTCTCATGTTGGTGACATTTATCGCTAATAAATGATTAAACATCAATCTATCAGCTGACCGGGCCCTGCCTGTCTGTTTCGCAGTATCGGGACCACCGCCAGACTCGGAAACTGGCCTGGTGAACTGCAAACGGCTCGACCACGTCGAGTAGGATCGGCTCTGTGATCTCACCAAGCGCGGAACAACTTTCTTTGGACCAACCGCATGTCGGCTCAACTTTGTGAGCCAGCTGTACCCACGTGAAGTGAGTCGTATGCGTACAATCATATGTGATGCCAAGACCCAAGTCCCTTGTCGTATCCCTACAACCGTGTCATACTTATTCTGGACCATCCATGTTGTCCCGACTGTGGATGCGCAAGTCATTCGAGATGACTGTAGACGGATTAACTAGTCCCAGCCCTGTGGATCTACCACGGCCCAGCGGCCAACTCTGGATTTCTAGAGTAAGGCGCTGGGTGTTATCTCCGCTACGGGAATCGGTGCCTTGTCTTATCGAGTGATGTCGTATCCCGCGTGCGTGTGCCTTTCTCTGCTCAAGCAGCGTTCGCTAGCGAGCGTCACAAGCTCACTGTGTTGTGCGATAGTTTAGTGAATTACTGCACATGTGTGCTGGGGCTCGCCACAGACCCACGGCCGGCCTGAATCACTCGGCGTGGCCACCCTACAGTGTGGCGAAGAGTGTGTTGTCAGTCGAGCTCAGCTACAATCTGATCGGATATGTGTTTGACATGTGAAATGGCGTGTTTGTATTTATGAATAAACAACACATCGTTAAGCTTTTATATTCGAGTGACGTCTCATGATGATCTCTAGTGGAATGCTAACTTTTCATATGGACATCGCAAACCGCCGCCGCTCCTCTCACGGCACAAATGACAGTCGTGGACGGTTATCAGTTACCCATGTATTACCATTGTTATGGACGTAACACAGTTAATATGTAAAACACCAGATATATGCTCTCTCAGTTTGCGCCGCGGCGGGGTGCGCGGCCGGCCTATGGCACGGGTTAGTCCATGTTTCAGAAACATTCGGCCGGGCGGGCCGGCGCCGCGCGGCAGCCATCACATTTGTACTGGTGCAATATCTACAGCCGGCCGGCCGGGGCGCACTCGCCGCCCGCCACGGCGCCTCGCGCGTCGCCTTATTGTCGGGAGGTACTTTGTACTAGGCGCCGCGCCGGCGGGCCGCCCCCGAGTGCCGACCTCCGCCGGGCCGGGGGCGGCACCGCGTCAGACGCACCGCTCGGAAGGCAAGACATACTCTGCTCGCTCGCAGCAGCTCTCGGGGCTTAACTAATATCACAACCTGGCGGGCCGACGTGGCGCCGCTCTCTGTCTAGCGTTACTCACGGTTAGCCTATCTAGCCACCTGTGGGGCGCGCTCGTGGCGCGCGGGGTCGCGGACCGCCGCGGCGCGCCGCAGGTACTGTCGTCTCACGGGGGCGGCGCGGCATGGGCCGCCAGTTACACGGGTTAGCGCGGCCGCCGCGCCGCCGCTGCTGCCTGGGCCGGGGGCCGGCCGGCCGCCTACAGCTGCGGCTCGCCGGGCGCCGCGCCGGCCGGCCGCTCCTCCCCCGACAGCTCGGAGGTGGAGTTTTGCCGAGAGAGCGCCGGCCTCCGTCGGTGCTCGCAGAGTGCGCGCCACAGCCGCAGCTCCATGCCGCCCCTGTGGGAGGGAGGGAGGTTCACAGTCAGTGACGAATCGCCGCGCGCCACAGCCGCAGTTCCATACCGCCCCTGTGGGAGGGAGGGGGCCCACAGTTAGTGACGAGGGGACCCACAGTCAGTGACGAATCACACGCGCGCCACAGCCGCAGCTCCATGCCGCCCCTGTGGGAGGGAGGGAGGTTCACAGTCAGTGACGAATCGCCGCGCGCCACAGCCGCAGTTCCATACCGCCCCTGTGAGAGGGAGGGGCCCACAGTTAGTGACGAGGGGACCCACAGTCAGTGACGAATCACACGCGCGCCACAGTCGCGGCTCCATGCCGCCCCTGTGAGAGGGAGGGGGCACACAGTCAGTGACGAATCGCCGCGCGCCACAGTCGCGGCTCCATGCCGCCCCTGTGAGAGGGAGGGGCCCAAACTCCACAGTCAGTGACGGAGTTCGCGCACGCCACAGCCGCCCCTGTGAGAGGGAGGGAGGCTCACAAACAGTGCGAATCGCTGAAGTGGCACCATATCAGCAAACACCGATAAATGGTGAAGGGCAACGGGGAAGTCGGTACGCTCGGACACTCAACACAGACCCCAATCGATATCAAACTGATGTCATGCATTCATACACAATGTGTCATCGTGCACACACAAAGGGACATGACATTCCTGACTGCACACAACCCCAGTTTGAGTACTCCACTATCAATGTACGGAAATGATGAAACCCCCTCCGCCCGCGCAGGCCGAGCGGTGCTGAGCGGGCCGGGGTTACAGAGCCGCGGTCAGGTGCACCAGTTGGTCAACAAAGAGTCGGACCAGTCAGCGACAGGGTCATCGGTGATGAGATCACCTCATGGCGTGGCAAGACAGAAGCAATCGGGGGGGGGGGGGGAGGGGGGTAACAGGGTACGGTGGGGTAGCCGCCAGGAGTAGGAGACTGCGTTCAATCGTCATAGATTCTTTCAGACAAACCACACAGTCACACACCTTGCTAAAGCGTTATCAGACTTACACACGCACAGCTACATACTGTATCGAGTATCACCGTATATGAGGACACAAATATTCGCCTCGTCCCCCTTGGTTTATCCTAAGCGCCCAAATCGTCGCTCACCTGAGGTGCAGCCGCCGCAGGTCCTCCCGGGTCATCATGGCCAGCACATCGTCCAGGTGGTAGCCCTCGTTGATGAACTGAAAAACAGACACGACAGTAAGCGTGACACTCAGAACGGGACAACAGTTCGCGAATAATTAACACAGCTTGAAGGGATCCTATACGCGTTATTTCCATGAGTTGGCTGACGGCAGACGGAGTATTATCGTGAAGATTGAGGCCGTCCCCATTCGGATTGGAAACGAAACATCAACATCGATCCGCCCCCTTTCGTGTGACTCTGACCGCAACCGGCGGGAGGATTATGAATAGTGAAACTGGCACAGAGCTCCGATCTGCATAATATGGGGTCGTCTCGCTAACCGGGACGCAAACAATGGCCGATGGCGAAGGCACATGGCGCTGCCAGCCCTTTCAAGCATCTCATATATGAATGAGCTCACGTGTGGGCAGCCGGAAGTACTGAGTAACTGACCCGTAATACCAAGCGCACACAGTTTTTTTGCATGCACATTGCACAATTGCGCAGGTCCGACCGTGAAAGCGTGATACTTTCTCAATACAGTACACCTGAGTTGTACCGATGTCCCAAGTGAAAACAGTGCTGCCGTACTGACCCGTGGGACTGGGCCAATAGGTATACACATGACGTGTACGAACTGTGATGAGTGCGGTCTTGACTGACCCGTGAGACGGTGAGGTGGTCGGCGCCGTGCTGCACCAGCCAGTCGACCAGAGAGCCGTCAGAATCGGCAGACACCTGGATGTGCGGCGGCGCGCCGGCCGCCGGTGCTGTCAGCTGGCCGCCGGCCGTCGGCGGGAGTACCGGGGAGGCGGCGATACCCGAGTCGGCCACAGACACCTGAGAGCTGTACCTGTCGGACGGAGAGCCGAGTCAGGAAACAGGACAGACGCCCGCCTATCATTTGTACCTACAGGACTGAGTGGCAGCAAGGGAGCAGGCGCCGCAAAGCGTTTACGAAGAATGTCACACTGAACTGCGAGGTGGATTGACTAATCCGTACACAATTATATCCAAGGCTGGTCCGAGAAATCCATGGCGCGTCCCGCACTCACTCTGTGTCCTGTCGCTGACGGTGGTGTGGCTGCTGCGGGCCGACGGGGGACAGGCCGGCCAGCAGCTGAATCTGCAGCGTTTTGTCGGACAGCGTCCAGCGCAGCAGCTCCTTGTAGTCGCGCTGCGACTCCAGCAGCTCGCTGAGCAGGCGTTTGTTCTCGCTGCGCAGCCGGTGCAGGTCGGCCAGCGTCTGCGGCGTGTAGTCGTCGTGTCGCACAGAGTTGATGGTGGAGACGCCGCTGGTACTGCCCTCCTCAGCGGGCGCCGGGCCCACGGCCGCGGCCCCTGCCCCGGCGGCGGCGGCGGCTGGCGGCTCGGCCGGCGCGCCCACGGCCGGCTCCGGCGGGTGCAGCGTGCCGCCCGCGCCCACCGCCGAGTCGGCCTCGTCGGCGTCACCCTCCGACTCCTGGTCGCCCAGCAGGTTGGCGCCCAGCTCTGCAGAGAGGAGCAAACACAACAGATGAGAGCGCGCATCACCAGAGGGCATCCCATGGGAAAACGCAAGCACAACGGTCCATTTCTTTAACGTTTCTGGCTACTTCTGTAAAGGTCCATCTCCCCACCGCACAGGCTAGTGGCGGCGCGACTGACTAAGCCGTCAAACTACTAGGGTGACTCCATCACACGGTACCTCTAACCCAATGCTTACCGGGAGACAGTATGAGGATGGCCATCTGTATGGCGCTGCGCACCAGGCTGTCCAGGGCGAACATCCAGTGGGGCTTGATGTTGTGAGAGCGGAGCGCAGTGTTCACCTGGCGACATAATGGTGGATAACGTCAATGGAGGGCAAAGAGTCACTGGTGAGAAGAGAAACTAGTAGCACATAACTCATAAGTCACTCACTGAGGAGACAGGAGTCACTGGGAAGAAGCGAGTCACTGGATGGACGAGCAATACTTATTAAAACACCGAGCCATTGGAAGGACGAGCATTGCTGGAGTCGACACATCAGACGACACAAGGAGAGTGGATTTCAGCACATGCAGACAACATAGTGTCTGGATGACTAAAGGCGCAAAAATACCCTACGTTTAGAACAAAGTCAAACCACGAGTCCAGTCACAATTACAGCCAACAACACTAACAATGATATGAACACCAGACATGCACATTGCACAGCTAGCACACGACCAGACCAAAACTGCAGACATGAACACTTAAAAAGCTGCCGATCAGGCACGTACAATGTACATTAAACAGTGTCCGAGTGTAGTAAAATGCCGGACTTCAGATATCACCACTGATGCCGAGACTGATAGGTACCACGCTACCCGGCCTATGGCTAACTCACAGTCCAAACCAGAGAAGGAATGAATAGTGATGACATCTTGGACGTCAATTTCCACAGCACAGTTTTCCCTTTCAGCTATAGTTCCAAAAAATAGTTCAACTTTCGTGCAGCATGGTCGACACAGACACCTTAACGTTGCATTTTTAATTCATGAACAAAAGTTTTTTCCACTACAAGGACAAATGCTCCCGCTTCATACAGAGAACGGAAACAATCTAAAATGACTTGAAACTTGATTAATTTATAGCACTAGACAGCAAAAACGTTGGCAAGCATCGACAGGATCAGCCACTACGCTGACTGACCGGAAGTCTGGATGTGCCGCGCGTGGGTGTGGTGTGGGCGTCGGGACTGAGCGGAAAGGAAGAGGGAGACAGCCGCGGTTGGGTACTGCATCATCATAACCGCCGAGCAGAAATACCCGATAAGCGCGGCGATTGCAAGAATAGCACCACCACTGCCAGTACTAACTTGGAGTTCAAAGAAAGTGACGAGCTGCAAATGAAAGCCAAACAAAACATGGTATGGATGAATGCAAGACTGGAATCGGTCCCCACTCCTACCCTGATTCCCTCCGGGAACCCGTGCTACCAGTACCGGGAGCGGTGTCTCCCGGAAGCGGCGCCACTCACCGCGTCCTGGAAGAGGTAGAGCGCCCGGTGGATCTGATCCATAGCGCGGCCGTCAAACTCGAGCTCCTCGCGCAGTGAGTTGATGGCCGCCTCCAGCGCCGTCTTGTTCTGCTCGGGGATAAAGTCGCGCAGGCCCTGCAGCAGCAGCGACAGCTGGTCCTGCAGACCGGCAAGACGGAACATCGGTCAGCGGCGGGCGAGTGGTGCGGGCAGACACAGGACCACTCAGACGCATTGCGATACCTTCTATAACTCACCAGTCACATAGAATCCAACATCTGCGTCACAACATTCGCACAAGCCTCCTAATGGCAACAATACAACACAATGCTTCCACCCACCTCCCCACCTGCATGTAAATAAACGTTAAGAACCACACAGCCTCAGCCTAGTATCCACACAAATCTCCAGTTCGACTGCTTGCCTCGCTCGTTCTCCTGCACAATCCACCCTCCAAGCGTTCGGCCGCCAGACCTACCGTGGTGAGCATGATCTGTCCGATGCCCGGCTCGTTTCGGATCGACTGGTACCAGACGTCGACTATCTTGGGCTGGTCCTGGGTGAGAACCCGGTGCAGTGTCATCCGCCGGTGAGAGTCCTTCTTCAGCAGGTAGAAGCCGTCCTCCTGCGCGCAACGGAACGACAAGGTTAATATAAACTGGGAGGGAAAAGGAGCCGAGCCATGGCGCATGATGAAAGCATAAAAGGAACATAAACTTCAACGACTAGTTCTACAGACTGAATAAAAGCAAAGTGAAGAGGAAAAACGTAAAAGGATTTACAAAACATTCGAGAGATCAAGCATAACAAATAATTCAGGTATTTGGCTTGTATAGGACTTGCAATGGCTCGCCGATTCACCAAAAAGCCCCGGAAGAAAAAAAAGGACCAACACAGTGAGTACGGACTGGGGTCGGCGTGGGCGAACAAGGCACGTACTAGTTCTCGTGGTGAGTCGACATCAGGGCTCATGAAACCGATCGACGAGTTGCGCCGCAGGATCACCGTGTCGTCAAACTCGGCACTGCTGAAACACGTGACGGGCACGGAATTCCGTCAGACACACGAGATTCCGCCAGTGACGGGCGCGGATTCCGTCAAACACACGCGATTTCGCCATTGACAGACGCAGGCTGCAGTCGGAGATTTGGAAGTTTGCGGACTTTTTTTTTGAAGACCCGGAGGGCTGACCCAAATTATTTGGAGACTGACAATCTAGGAATTTGCGTTGGAGTATGTCGTTCCTAGCTCATGACATTTCGCTGTAAAGCTACTTTTTGTTGGGTGATTTTTCTAGCCTCATCAAACTCGTTGAAACGAGACAAATATATGAATGGAAATTATTTTTTTCATTTTGAGCAGGGAAGATAAAATTTGTGAGTCTTGCTGGTTACTTCATGCGATGGCATTCGTGAATCTACGTTAATGATTTAATCTAACGTTTATATCACCTTAACCATGCTTCTAGACAAACAATATACATGTGAGTTTCACCAAAATTATGAGCAGGGTAGGTAAGTGAAACAAACTGAAAACCAGCATTGTCAGAACATTGCACACTTATGTGACATGAAGTGAATAACAAAATCTAAAAACAAAGAGATTAACTTATTGATATCAGTCTAACTCTAAATCGTGCAGCCGGAGGCACGCGAGGATCTTGGTAAACGAAAAAAAAACACTATCCATGCACCTATATGGCACTAGACTATATCACACGCAAACGGTACATGTTTTACCGGTACAAGGCCAGAGGCGAACTGCACCCAGAGCGGTAGAGCGACTCGGCACTAGAACAGCCAGCGACGGGCCATCACACACGCGCAGGGACGGCTAGTTGGAAGGGGCGAGTACGATACCCCGCGGTATGCCGGACGCCGACTGTAAGCCCCCGCTGTGTGCGGTAAGCGCGGCTAAGTCCACCGTGTGGACGGCTCACCACGCGGTGGGCCCGCCCCCCGGCCAGCACGCCACAACACCGCGTAAAACCGCATCAAAGCATCCCTCTCCCAGGGTACCCAGAACGCCCGGCAAATCGGCAGCCCCAGAAAGTGCGAGAAAGATAACTAAATCTCCCGGTAAAACATAACCAGTCCAGACCAGTCATCAGCAAACACGACAGCCATAGACAGCTAGAGACGCACAGCCCAGCCAGCCATTCGACCAGACCCGAAACTAACCCCCATTCCGATAGAGCACATGCATTTACGACAGTCGGGAGCGGTGAGTGTTCGTCGGGACAGATCGCGCGCGTTGTGGGAATCAATCCGCCGAGACCGCGTGCGCCGGTAAGTCCGAGAATAAAGAGAGCAGAGAGTAGAGACCGCCGCCGCCGAGCGCGGCCGTGCGCCGGCCGAGCAGTGCCGCGCGGGGCCGAGCGGCGGTCGTCCAGCCTACCTGGAGAAGGAGAGAGTCGAGCAGGAGGCAGGAGAGCCCACAAGCGCCGCGGCGGAGCCCGACGGCTTGGCGCCGCCGTACGAAGCGCTAGAAGAGAGAGCAGAGAACGGCCGGCCGTTTAACTGCAGCCCGGGTAGGCGACTCCCCCGCTCTGCACACTACACAGCAGTTAGTGGGAGGGCGGGCGGGCGGGAGGGTTAAAGAGGATCATGCCGAGGACGGTGGGAGGGGGAGGAGAGACAGACCAGCCTCATCACCACCCTCCGCAGCCTCAAGCCAGCCCCCATGGCACGTGCGGGGGCTGCCGACACGGGTGATCGGCAGCACTATACAATACACATGCCTGCCTATCTAGATAGCAGTCATTACACAAATACATGGCATCATCAGGAAACTTTCAAACAGATAGCCCGTTAGCACAGAGACAATGCACTGTCACAGTTATTGATATAGATTAGGCCCATCTAAGTTTGGTTAAGGCGTTGGCATGGCTTAAAATACGGGATATAACCGTGAAAACACATAAATCAGCGTCTCTCAAGCTTGCGTGAGTGTAACTAATTGGCCAAAATAAGCCACTGGAACAAACTATCCGTGCCAATAGCGCAGGTTTCATGGAAAGGTTCGCATGGGTCGTCACCTCCTTTCCCAAAGCGCTGGAGCTCCACAAAATGCGCCGTTAACCCGACCGACGGCGGCCCGTATTGAGGCCGTGACCGGGGTCGTAACCCGCCGCTCGACCCGTGACACGAGCACTACATTCGCAGTGTCAGGGACACCGCATGTGGTCTGCCATACATGCAACTGGCACGACAAAAGGCCCGCGCTGACCAGACAAAACCAAACAATGGAACGTGGTATGCGAGTTATCAGCGACCAGACCGAACCGGTAAAATAAAACGAAAATTTGCTGTATGTGGTTGCAGTGAAAAGCATTTGCCGAGAGAGAAGGGAACGCCAGACAGTCGCATCAATGCGATAGCTCGCATGACTATGAGCTAACGGCGAACCACAAAGTTCCTGGCTACTTCTTACGTGCATTCATGAGCATTAAAGCAATTACTTTTTATGTGTTTACGAATAGATATTGGATTTGTCTGAATCCCCAGCCGCCGACAGGTCGTACCGTCGTCTCGTGCCGGTCGTAGCGCCGATGCCTGGAGCGGCGTCGGTGACGGTGGAGCCCAGGCATTGGTGTTGACGTCAGCCCAGTGGGGGAGCGCGCCTGCAGCGCGGCAGCGTCCTCTGAACATGACGCACAGCGCACCATGAGCCACCCACCAGCAGCGTCTGTCGTTTGTCGTTATGAACCACCCACCACGTCCCCGGCGCTACATTCAATCCCTCGACAGAATAGACGGCAGTGTGGTCAGCTGACAGTGACAGCCCGGTACGACGAACCCCGTCAGTCACAGACGAGTTGGCAGCGGCGACCATCACAGACGGGGGGGGGGGGGCGTCTAGACCGCTGCAGTCACGTGCGACTGATGACCAGGTGCCACGCGGCGGTGACAAGTGTGACAGCATCCAGTCCAGGTGAGGGGGTGACAGTCCATCTGCAGTGTCCCTCCTCATTCCGAACAGACCCACATAGATCCCAGAGCCGACCCGACCCCGTCCGGCTTCATGCGTAACGCGTTCACTCCAGCTAAACGGTAAACCTCGCGGCGCCCGGCGGCGTAGGTATTGCAACAGCCGCCGTCGCCGAACAACCATCACGAATGGCCAGGAATGCGGATACCGTTCGCAGTGCGCACGGAGACGGCATCCGCCGAGGCCAGCTGATCGCCTGCTGATGACGTCATCGGAGGCAGTGGAAAATACCGGCGGCGCTGAATCCGATAATGCGAAAACGGCATGACCAGGCATGCCGCGCTAATGAGTTCGCCATTTCCAAAGACATCGTGCCAACGAGGTATGCTGGATTGACACGTTACATCAGATCAAGACCGATACCGCAGGATGTGAGGAGCCACAATCCGTTAGATGACGAATACATCATCGAGGGCATTGTTTGCAATAAAGTGAACGAGTGGCAGTATAGCTAGACGTGAAGCACACCAGTAAACAACTCACAGAATCTCGAAAAAGTAGCCCTCGACAGAACAAAGGCAGTATCCACCACACAGGAAAGACAGGAGGAATCGTGCGCAAAACATCCTGTGCAATAGAGTCACCGAGACAGAGAACAGACACCATTTTACTACGCATCACATTCACTACGGATGGGTTCTGATCAGGGATGCGGAGCCGGAGCCGGAGTCGGAGCCGGAGCCGCCGGAGCCGGCATATTTTGCCCGGAGCCGGAGCCGGAGCCGGAGCCGTGAAACAATATAGCCCGGAGCCGGAGCCGGAGCCGGAGCCGCCAAAAAAGGGGGCGACTCCGGCTCCTTTTTATTTTTTGAAGAGGAAAAAATAATTGACCTAGTTCGGTTTGACAGAAGTACAAGGCAGTAAAACATATCGTACTATTGGTCTCAATATAAGTGCCCAGGCGACCTGTAGTTTTGATGCGGTGAATACCCTCATCCTCGCCACAATGCGAGTGGGGGTGGCGCTGGCTGGGAGGAGGGGTGCACTCGGCCCGAGTTGTGGCGAGGGTAAGGATATTCACCGCATCAAAACTACAGGTCGCCTGGGCCCTTATCTTGAGACCAATAGTACGTCATGGGCCATCAAGTGAATGAAAAAGCCGAATATCCCCAGTATCCCACAGTACGCAATCAACTTCCTGTCTGCTCCTCCCCCCCTCACGTCTATTACATCCCCAGAACATGAGGACCGGTCATCAGGTGACGGCCATTGTTTTGAAGCCAGTGCAGTGGACTGCGACTCCCAGCACCGTCTCTTCCCACCCCCCCCCCCCCCCCCACCCCCCAATGCAGCCGAGATGGGTGTCAGCTTACGATGGTTCAGTGAACTCCGATTTGCGGCGACTGCGTTTCCAATGCCATCGCTTCCTAGTCCTTTGTTCTGCCAGTTCTCTCCGAGGTGCGTTTGCGCGGGGACGCGGTGAGCCGGTCATGGCAAGAGTAGGATAACGCGTATAACCAATCCAATTTTTCTTCCACCCGTATTTAATTGATTGCATAGGGGATGTACTGAGTCGGAGCCGGAGCCGCCGGAGCCGGAGCCGCCGGAGCCGGACCATTTTACTCGGAGCCGGAGCCGGAGCCGGAGCCGCCATAACATTTCACCCGGAGCCGGAGCCGGAGCCGGAGCCGATTTTTTTCTCCGGAGCCGGAGCCGGAGCCGGAGCCGTTTGAAATTTCCACGGCTCCGCATCCCTGGTTCTGATACATATCAGCCTGGCCAGCGGCGCAGTTCCGATGCATCCTCTGCCGTCACGACGTCAGAGCAGGTGGGTCGTGAGGCCGGAGGCGCTGATCAGTGACCGGTGGGGCATGAGGTAGCGACCAGTGACCCCGTAGGCCCTGAGGCAGCGATCAGTGACCCCGTGGGACCGGAGGCGGCAGCCGTTGACCCTGCGGGAGCTGATTTCAGCAGCTGACCTCAGGGGAGCTGCTCCCGACCCGCCGACACCACCACTCGTCAGCAGGCCGCTAGGAACGGAGCGTCACGCCACTGCATGACCTGAATCAGCCCGTTCCCGCCGGGTCCGAGCCCCCCTACCCACCCCGTCCACCAGTCAGCCGTGGCTCGTCCATCCCCGGATCTGTCGCCGTGTGTATGTTTACCAGACACCTGGCGCCTCTGTTTACCTGGGGCTGGTGGGTGCCGGCGGCAGCGGCGGCCCGGAGCGCTCCTGGCGCAGCGGCACCGGCGAGTGCCGGCCCGGCGACGGCCAGCGGAAGTACACGTCCACCAGATCGGCCACATCGTTCACCAGCAGCAGTGGCAGGTCCGGTTTGGGCCGCATGGCTCCTTCGGTCTTCTCACGGAGGTTCTGTGTCGCTCCCGGTCGACCAAAGTACGCTGACCGCCGAACGCTACTGACCGCTATCGTCACGCCGCGCGGTATTGGTGCCGCTATTCGCACGGTATCAGTATCGGAGGCACGCGATCAGCCGTCGTATCAGTATCACAGCCGCCGCACTGCGGCAAGGTCAGGCAGCCCGCGGCGTCGGTATACGGGGCGCGTCCGAATGCTATTATTTGAGCAGGCACTCGCTGGCGTATTCACAGACTGGCAGTTCCTGCAGATGAATAGAATAGCTACCCAATTAAGCAACTAATTATCACAGTCTGACTACTGGCCAAAAGTTCTTCCGGTCTTCGTTCACTTCACGCCTAACGACCGATCACCTCCTCGTCAAGCAGTCTTCACTCCTCTCCGCTGTTCACCGGCCCGCGTCGCTCGCGACACTGTTCACCGCTCGACGCGCGCGGCACCGCTGCGGGACCGGCCCGGACGGCTGCTCGGCCTCAACTGACGCTGCGCCGCCGCCTGACTCAACCTGCACCGCCGGCCGGCCTACGACGCGTAACGCTAGCAATGACGGAATCCGCGGGCCTCTGATAGGAGGCCGGTACAGTCCCACCACAATCGGCACGTGTAATATGGGGAGCACGACGTATTTTGATTAGTAAGAGGCCAGGATTGACGAGTTGTGACAAGGAGTGCCTCTGCTACCGTCAGGTCACCTGACGTGTCACTCTGAATTGCAATCTTCAGGGGCCCCAGGTGGTATCACGACGCAAGCTCCGGCTGCCGTGCCATGACCGACACAGGGGGGATTCCGGCGTTAGAAACGCCACAAGAACACGAAGTTACGTAATGTCCATTACCACTGGAATTGCATCGGTCAGAGGCACAAAGCTAAGTGGCAATGTAAGCCGGGGGTATAAAACAACCATCTCACAGCGGCGTGCCAAATGTCACGGCCGCCCGGCGCCTGGCGTCCTGCAGAACTCCCTCAGCGCTCAGCGATGTTGATGCACGGTTCTCGGTAAACAACTGCCGTCATTGCGCCACCTGATCAGTGCACACACGCCCATGATGTCACTCCGATGACATGACCGTTCAATATACATAGACCGTCGCGGCGCCGACCGGGGCCGCGCCGAGACCCGGAACAGATGCCGAGCGGAATTCAGCTGCACGGAGATCCGTCCGAAACGGCGCC